TAAATTTAGCGGTGGAATAGTTTTCGAACCCTCAGAAGAAGTGAAAACGATTCGACCAGAGAGCCTTGTAACGAAAGCAATATACGTTGTTATGATCAGCTTCGCAGTAGCCTTTGGACTTCACGTTTTTTTAGTCTTAAAACATTGCTCGATTACTACTTCATGTAAGATAATCTTTTCCTTCATACATTAGTCTCGCCAAAGCTTGAAAACAAATTGAAATTCTGTTTTTAGCATTTCGTTTATATATCTGTACAAAGGATTAAATCTTATTCTTGAGGTCATTTAAAGCAATGTAACTTTCACAGGTGCTTGTCTCAAATAGTGGTAGATATGGCTCAATTTTTTGTGAGTAATTTTATACTAAATAATTCTAGGTGTATTAAAAGTAAGCAGTGCTGATGTGTACGAAGTTGAGCAATACAATTTTTAGCCTGGGCACAAATTGCTGCCCTGTGGTTTGCGATCAATGTTGCCTCCACAAGTGAACACCGGAGGCTATATTGAAACAAAAGTTTTCTGCTCTGATACCTATTTTCATTTCGTACCATCTATTTAAAACATCTGGTAAATATATGTATAAAAACTCCTGCTGTCCCCGCATTTCCTGTTTTTGGTTATTTCTTTGTGACGTGAATTTATGTTTCAACAAAGTATATGAAGTTCAAGAGACTATTTAAAAAATGTCTTTTCCAATCGTGTTCTAGCATGCTCTTGCAGTCTTTTCTATCTAAAGGAAAAAAACAATCAAAATCCATACGTGTATGACTGGTTGCAATCCTTCATGATAACATGTGAATATAAGTTTTTTAATTGAATCGTTTCAAGTCAAATGACTAAGGGCCAAGTCGCACTAGAGGACAAAACTGTTTATTTATGTCAAAAATCTGTCATCACAATGAAAAATCAAGTGCGACCGGTTTGTTCACCAAGGGACAAAATTTGGTCGCAGACGGACAAACTTCAAAGATGCCGTCGACTACCTCTGGAGCAGGCCAAATTGAGACAAATTTTGGAAAACAATAGCGAGTGTGTTTTAATTCGGAAATGATTTGACAGGTGATATGTAGCAGAGTCTCTATGCTATAAACTTCGTTGTAAAATTAATCACGTTCACATTTCGCAACAACATGAATCCCGGCGCGGGCGACCCATTTTTTTCCGTACGAATACGGTATCCACAATATCCACCAGGATGGATCTATCCTTTGGCGGGCCCTTACATGTTTAATGATCGAGGAAATCCCAGCCCATTTCCTTCGACCACGAGTACTGACTCGTTGCCAGAATCCCTCCAGTTCAGCGAAGATAGCTCAATGCCGGCATCAACCCCATCTTCTTCGCGTCGTGCATCTTCGTCAGCCGAGAACAAGAAGGCTCAGGACAGATGGAGTAAAGAAGAGGAGAAGCTTTTAGTTCAACTGTGGGCTGAAATCACAAGGCGCTCACAGCATGGTGTTGTGTTTTGTTCACAGATTTTGTTCTTAAGTGCGACTGTAGCTCTCCGGACAAATTTTTTGTCACTGGCCGATTTCAAGTCGAATTTGTCCAGAACAAATGTAAAATTGCCCTCTAGTGCGACTTGGCCCTAAGCTGGAAGCGCAGCAGGAACTGTAGAGCCGCTAATGCCGCAAGCTCGAAATATGACCATCGGCACTGTTGCATAACGTTCGAAGTCATGAGAGACTTCTCTCTTGTCGAACTATGGGATTTAAGAGGAAAAATTGTTTTTGCAGCCAGGAAATATGAAAGGATTTAAATAAAAGTGGGCTAATCACGTTTAAGTTGTGTGTTTATCTTTCCTAAGGGGTTTCCAAGCCAATTTATGAGTTTTATTGGAACTGGTTTGCTCTCTCATACATAATCCTTTCAACAATCTTAAAAATTAAATAATCTCGTCCCTTTTTTTCATTGAACAACGTCTGTTTCGGAGGAAAAAGTCAGGGCTATGCTGGTTTCGGATGATCCCGTTGTCAAGGCGAGCGGTATTGGAGAGCGGCCTTTGCATCGAATGAAGTATATTGAAGCAAAGCACCGTATCTCAGTGGTTGAAATTTTCACTGTGTCATCAAATGTCAAATGTCCCAAGGAATTGACGAGAGTGTTGGGACGTATTCACCAGTAAATTGTTATCAGCAGAGAAAAAGAATAAACCCCTAGTCTTCTGAGCCAAAAACACCAGCGTAGAGAGAAAAGTAGTTATTTTTAGTTTAGTTGTTTTCTGATTAAGTAATGGTCCAGCTAAGAAGCAGGCAGAAAAACAATAGCCCGCGGCAATAGCGTCAGTTATTTTTCAGGCGCTAATTTCTCTAATCAAATTAAATCTGAATGCTCTGATTGGCCAATACAGCGAAAAGCGCGAAATTTGAATTTTAAAGTTGAATTAAGATAGCTTAAGACTCATTCGAACAACTTTTTATTTCGTCTATTGCTTTGTTATGTTGAAAAATATAACATATCTAAAATTTAAAAGATTTCTATGCGCCAAACCCGAGGAAGTTAAACTGATATGAAATTACACGAAGATGAGCACAATGTTACATCAATCAGCGACGTTGGGAACAACATTTACGTCGGCTCTCACAAAAGAAATGTCAAAACCATGATCGTAAACAGCAGCAATTCACTCTCACGTGGCGAATCTGGCGAACGCGCCAATGTCCCGCGTTCATATTCGGCCACCATACAGAACAACAACACGTACACAAAATCAAATCTAAATGTTATCTAAATGTTCTGCTTTTGGAAAAAAAGATGATGTTGCCCAGATAGGAAAAATTCCTGCATGTTCGGATAATTGGGTTTCAGAAAAAGCTCTCCTACAGTTTATCTGTTTTCACGGTTTTGATATTACTCTATAAAAATCCTTCTTACAATCTCTTTCGTCCTTGGAAAAAATAAAGGCAAGCTACAGTCATGCTCGCCAGATCTTCCGTACCAAGAGAAACTCAAACACCAGTGACAGCTATTTATGATACCTAAGCGGCTTCCGTCTCGGTATTCTCCGTCTCAGAAGGTACAAAATGCAAACGTGTCACAAATTTCAATTCGCTCATTTTAACTTAAGGTCCACGGCGAACTTCCATTTCGCTTGATGAAGCAGTCTAGAGAGAAAAAAAATCGAATGAGAGATGGGTAAAGCTACACGGAATAACACATAATGCGCGCGGAGGTGCGAAAATCTATTGAATTCAGCTTACCTCAAGCTCAAGTGTTCTACATCTCTTCGAGAAATAAATTCATCCTTGTAAAAACAACAAATCTTTCGCTTTCTCCTTTTATGCCCAGCTGTTCTCCAATTTCTAGCGCCAAAATTATTCCGATCTCCTCCTGATCCGGCCTGACAACGAAAACAACTACGCCGGGCCCAAATTTCCACATGGCGACTCGGCATGTCGAGGACGGCAGCAAACCATGTTTAAGAGCATTTTGAAGATCACTCCGATGATAAAATACAGTAAATTTGAGATAAATATTCAATAAAGAAAAAATGCAGATTTTTCACGAACAAATTGACGAGATTTCTTCGGGTAAAAGACAAATTTCCTAACATCTCAAGTGTCACACTAAGATGGGGTCACAACAAGGTCGCGCGTGTGTTGCACGTTTTCCGCTCTAACTTTTGATTGGCGGATAGAACAATGCTAAAACTTGGCCGTGAGGTATAAGACAGGGGAATGGGGAAAATAAAGCTAAAAAAAGTTGTTTTTGTCACGTTTCTGACTGTTTTTTTGGCGATTTTTGGATTTCGGCCAATCAGAACGCTTGATTTAATTGAAATTAATGATTAAAAGTTAGCACCTTTTAATCACTTTTGCCGTTCGCCTGCCTACCTCTTACACGGACCATTACTTAAATAACATTTCTTTGGTTTTAGGAAGCAAATTTTAACTTTTGCTCAAAATATTTTCTTTTCGCGGCAAACCTGGAAAACATTTTCTTCCACAATAGTTATTCCAAGATTAGCTAGTCCGTTTATGTATTAATCAGCCATTGAGTTAATAAATTGTCTTTGTCTTTGTCCTTCAGATCTAACAACAATACCAGACGTCCATAACAGTGAATAATGCAACTGCCATCATGTTACTTCACGTGATATTTCTTCTTTATTACCTGCTTGGCTTATTGTCAGGACCTTGTACAGGTTAGATCTCTGGACGGACCGGGTTGTTTAGAAACTCGCTTATGTTAACTCAAATTGACTTTTCGCAGCCGTTTTTGAAGCTGCAGACTCAATATTGAGTTGTATTTTTAGCTTTGGGCTAACTGCCCTTCTAGACCTAGCAACTGAGCCGTTCTTGCTACAATCATAACCACTATAACCGCTGTCAATAAAGCTTTGTAGATTGTTAATAGTCTATCTTATTATTCACTCCCCTCAGTGCTATTCAGGGATAATTTGCAACGCTGGTCGGGGGACTTACCAAACAGCTTATAGTTCAGTTTACCCCGAAGCATTGAAGGGATGCGTAATGATGCTCCTTTGTGGGTGTGAGTTTTGATAGACCACCACACCGGCGACTACGTCCCGTACGTTTAATTTACGAAGAGTTTGTGAGGTCTTTAACGTACCACTGAATTTATTTCCTGTCAGGCAAGGCTTGTGAGGCGGGGTCTACGGTTTATCGTCCTTTCCCGAGAAAAAGTGAAAGTCTAACCGTTTGCAGATGTTATTACGAAAGCAGCACTTTCTCCTCAGTTATGTTAAGATCCTGAGTGTTGATCTGGCCGGGGTTTGAACCTACGGTCTGCCTCTCAGCAGACCGGTGCTTATCCTATCGAGCTAACTGGGCGGCGGTTTTAGTAGTATTTAGTATTTAGTAGTATTTCGATTGTAATTCCAAATTTTTTTATTATTTTCTCTTTTTCTGTTTGCAAGTGTCCCCTAGCCTTTAATGGTAGTTTTGATAAGTTTTACCCATGCATCCTGTCAGGAAAGTTTCTGCCTGTGCATACAGTGGACGTTTCTTGGTGATTTTAAATTGTAACTATAAGTTTTTGTATGTTCTTTACTTTGCATAGCATTTGTTGAGGTGGGAGTTTCCAGTTACCTAGGAAGTTCAGTTCATCACTTTCCTGCGCAGCGTGAGTGGACTTTAGTGTGGCCGTGGAATGTCAATTCAGGAAAAGGTTTTTTCGAAGCCACTGCTTCAGGAGAAAAGGAGTTCAATGAAAGTTTTGTAACTCCTGAACCAGGAATCTACTTTGTCGCACTTAATCTACACATAATAAACACAAGTGATTGTTGCTTAAAAGCATCTTTGGTGATAAATGACGAGTTCGAGGAAAACAATGGAATTAAAGGTGTGTGCAGTAATACTACTTCAAGAAGAACTTTAAGCCTTTCAGGTTTACTGCGCCTATATGAAAATGACCTGTTAACCATGTACCTTCATGGGTCGAAGGGGACATTGTTGGCTAACAGCACGTTTTCAGTTGTGCTGATTTCGCGTATAGGCTCTGTACCGGGATTTCATGCAGTTTTATCTGCAGACTTGCCGATTCAAATGATATCCAGACTTGAGAACTTTAGAACTGATGGTACGAAGGGCTTGTTTGTTATGCACAGTGGAACATCTCCCTCCGTTGGGTTGTTCTGTTCAATTCTTGAAGGGATCTATTTCTTTTCGTCCAATTTAAACGTAAAATCTGAAAATCAATTAACTGGCTGCCGTCTTGCTATTGTTTTGAACTCGAACACCACTTTAGTTCAAAGGTACTCGCCTGGAGAAGTAGAGTATTCCATAAGTGTGTCTGGTATATTTTACCTCAACCGTGGGGATTGTATTGAGCTTCTTTTAAAGCCAACAGTTGGTGGATCCGTCACAGTTCAATTGGGCAGCAGTTTCTCAGGCATTTTCCTTGGAATGAAGACAGATTTTTCTTCACAATTTTCCTCCAGTGTTTCTACCGGTAAGCAAGCGGGAATGGCTGTCGGATGGAATAAAGTCGAAAACTGGTCCGTCAGCAACCTAAGGCGAAATTTTCAGTCACAATATATGGTTTTAGAGAGAAATAGTAGTACCTTTATTTCTGAAACTGATGGAATTTTTTTAGTTTCTGCTTTGGTGAATATCAATAGCTCTTCAAATTCGATGGAGAAAAACTTGGCTACTTTGCTTGTCGATGTTGGTGACACTTCAACTGGTTTCACTGGTTATGGTAGCCTTTCCGCCTCGAAGACCAGATCACTTAGTGTCAGCGGGGTTATTAACCTTAAAAAAGGAGACACGCTGACTGTTCGTATAAATAGTGATTTTCACAGCTGGGAGATAATAGATGGGCTACTTGGAGTTAACTTGGTTTCCAATAACTGGCCAGGTGTTGCAGCCACACTTACTCAAACGATGCCTCTTGATTCTCATGGATGGACAAAGCTTACATCATGGAAAACGTCCAATGTTTCTGGGTTATTCTCGTTTGACAACTCGTTTTTCCCAAACCATGGAGCATATCGTACAAATGTTGATGGCACTTACTTTTTATCCTGTAATGTCATTTTTGAGGGTAGCCCAAGGGGTAGCCTTTCAGTTATTATAGCCATTGATGACGTCATTGATACTGGCAATGGGCTCTTCTCGCTAAATGAAAATCCAAAGCGATATTCGACTCTTAATGTTGTTGGGTCCATTAGTCTCACAAAAAATCAAACTATCTCAGTCTACGTCGCGGCCACTGAATTATCATATTGGAACGTATCAAGTAAATCGGGTTTGTCTTTGGTACTTGTTGGAGCGAAGTTGCCTTCTACGCCTGGCGTTTTTGCAGGTGGGTCTTAATTATTCCTTATTACCTGGTAAATATCTCTACAAGAAGCATCCGACTTTACATATTTCCATCTTTACATTGACGCGTGCATTATCAATAAGAAGTGTATTTGTAGAGGTCAATTTATTGTAGATATTTGTTCTCCCGCTTACGACATTAGAATACCCTCAATTGCACTTTACTTATTGGAAATAATTGATTGAAACAAATAAATGGTTTCGTTTAGATCCTGTCAGTTGTTATCGTTGTTTTCTGCTGAAATTATACCGACTGCTATATAAAAAGAATTTTTTGCCTGACAGAATGGTAATCAATCTTTTCTCCTACGATTCGTTTCGCTGACATCCTCTTTTCTAACGTGTTAGGTCTTCTTGTCAACTTTTTCTACCTGCTATATATCAATTATACCATGTTCTTTAAATATAAGGTTATGTTCGTTCTTATAAGCGTGTAGATAAGTAGCAGTCTGTCAACTCCTTACATAACGTCCGCGAACTGGAGGTAAGCGAAAGCAGTGACACTAGCACGATGCTGTGAACCAAATGAATTAGTTACGCCTAACAGGGTGTGGGAATTTTTAGTGAGGCATTTTAACAGGTCTGGTCTTTAAAAAGGGACAATGCAGGGGCACCCAACGACAATTTTCGGAAAATATCTGTTCGGAAGACGATTTGATATCTTTAATTTCCGGAACATTTGTTGTAAAATTTCTTGCTTGCCTGCCTTTCCCAGAATTTTCGAACATCTAAAAAAATGGTCTAATTGCCTATTTTTAACGGATTTTTACCCTAAAAAGGTCACCTAGAATTTTCGGGAGCCTTTTTTCTGGCTGGAATTTTCGAAAAGGTAAGTTTTGATCCCTATAATTTTCGGATCACTAGACTTTTAGCTAGGAAATCCGAACCGATGAAAAAATTTTTTAGAGGATAAAAATATGCCTATATCTACCGTTTAAATACTAAAATACGTTTGTTCTCTAGTTAAAGAGGAAGAAGCCAACCCAAGTTCATCCAGTGGAGAGATTGATAAGTGGAGAACAGTTCCGCCAACACCAGGCACTTTCTTTAAGAAAAGATCACAGTTTAACTCAACATCTGGAAGGTTTAAGGCAAGGGAGGATGGCTTTTACCTTATCAGTGCTAATATCTTGATCTATCATTCAAATTTATCTCAAATACGTTTGAACGTATTACTTGATGGACAAAACGACGACACTTCTCTGAGCACCTTTCAGCCAAGACATTCATCTTCAACAGGAAGCTTTTTTGTTAGTACTTTGACGCTTGCAGGCACGATGCGACTTATCTCTGAGCAGTATGTCTCTTTATTTTTAGACGTGCAGTACCTGAGTGGTTCTTCCTGGAAAGTGTTGAGTAACAGCAGCTTCTCCGTTGTTTTGGTTTCTCTTTGGGATGATGATAATGCCGCGGGATTTCTGGCAAGAACATCCCGGCCCTCAAACGGTATCATTACGTATACTAAAGTTTATTACTGGAGGGCCGAGTTCTCTAAGAATCTTGAAGTCTCAGCCGTTGAATCTGTTTATATAAAAGAAAGCGGTTTGTATTTTGTACAGAGCGTTATGATCTTAAATGACTTAAGCGGTAACGGTGTCTTTCACAGTGGAATTTGTGCTTCAATGAACCAAATTCTATTTAATGGTTTTGCCGCGTCCAAAGTAAGTGAGGGGCTTGGAGGCAACTTTGTCATAAGCGCATTTGGAGTTCTTTTTCTGCAGAAAGGGCAAACAATTGATCTTTGCACGAGATCTGAAAAAGGTGAAAATTATCAATATCTACAGAATTCCTTTTTTTCGATGGCAAGATTTCTGGGACCCGTTCAGCTGCCAGGTCTTCATCAAACATTTCAAAATGTCTACAATGTATCTTCACCTCATGAACGGTCGTTTGCAACATCTTTTTCATCTGCTGGAAACCAACTCTCCTACAGTAATAATATGTTCAATCCAAATCCAAAATCACCTACAGCAAAGGGAGACTTCACGACAACCTTAAACGGTACATACTTTTTCTCACTCTCATTCACATTGACAGGGAACGTCTCGGCAAATATTACTGCCTGTGTTGGGCCACAAAAGTGTCCAGAATGTTACATTGAAGTCGTTGGCACCTTAAACTATCTAACCAGCACTTTTGGGTTTGTGGGGCTGTTGGACCTCGAGGAGAACGAGTTACTCTCAATATGTTTATACTCCCAAGAAACAAGTTTCTCTCTCGTGTCCGCTACTCGTTCTGTTCAATATTTGTATGAGCTGGGGCGTATTGAAATTGTTCAACTAAAGCATCCATCCATTAGTTTTGGTTCAGCTGGATGGCATAGGCTAATAGGGTGGAGGAATTCCAGTGGTGAAGCAATTCAAAGCATTTACGTGAAATACAGTGGACTTTACTTTCTGTCTTTAAACTTATTGCTAAAAGCACCTTCTAAAGGTCTCGTTGGAGTACAATTACAAGCAGAAGAAGCGGTACACCAAGAGATTTTGTCGATTGTATCTAGTGCTGAAGCAGATGATAGTTTTTCATTCAACGTTGCCGTTCTTAGTCGTTTAAATGCCTCGCAAGCGATGAGTATTTCTGTTTACTTTGATTCAAACCTACTAAACATTGGTAATAATTCCACTTTCTTTGCTGCACTCATCACAAATAGTAATAAGCATCCTTGTCTGTCACTGAAATCCAAACCAAGCCAGTACCTCGCTGATCAATGGTGGCAAGCTATCGAACAATGGGAAGATGTTGACGTACAGTGCCTGTCTCCAAGCTCGGAATTCACTAAAGGGTGGTTTGTTACTCATGTTACTGGTGTGTATTTCGTTGCTGCTGTAGTAATGATCAGGGCATCTGGTACACTAAACCAAACAAGGTAAGCGCGTTAAAACTTGAGCTTTTTATTCTCTTTTGTGATTAAAATTTACGTAACCAGTCAACTGTTTTTGTACCTGTGATTGATACATTTAGTAAGAAAATTCCGTATGACTTTCTGAGTGTTAGTGTTTTTATTGTTGTAATAATCTTGTTATAGTGTCATATTATACGCTGAAGCCTTTTGTATCATAACCCGTTTCCATCGCTTTCGCCTTAGAGTCCTTATTTTCAAGTCCTAGACAAGAAATAAGTGCCTTTGTTGTTTTCTACTTTAATCCTTAAAATTGTCAATAATGGTTTGGTCATTATGTGGGAAATATGTGTTTGGCCTCCCCTCTTTAAGCCTATCAAAGTTATTAGAATTGTGTGCTTACCTTTCAGAATGGTTGAACTTTTGTTATCGGTAAATGGAGAAACGTCAAACACAAATGGCTTAATAGCAACCAAGGCTGCTACACCAGGCTCAACCGTTGCCCTCAGTTTATCAGCGACTGTTTACCTGGAACTTTGGCAAACTCTGTATCTGATGATAAGAAGCACTGGTGATGGTATACTGGAAGTACTCAATGGGAGCACGTTTAGTGTGGCGCTCATAGGTAGATAGAAATGTTATTTTAACAGCCTTTGTATCCTTACAAAGAAACCCCATCGAGTACATGTAGATTAAAATATATATAACTGTTTCCAGTATCTCTTATTTCAACGGCTATATGACCTCGATGTTGCGTAGTCGCAACGACGGTTGAGAGAGCTAAGATTCGCAGTCACAGCAAATTACAGTATGGCCTGATTCGCGTTTTGCTTTTACGTTTCTTAGATTTTTGTATTTATATTTTGAATTAGTAAATTAAGTTTTCCAAAGACCGCGTACAAAAACGCAATACTTGGTTATGGTAATCGGATACAGTACAAATACACAATAGACCTCTTCGAGATGAAGACTTTTTATTATAGCCTCGCTTTTCGTTTTGCTTGTTCTGCGGTAGAATAAAGAGCCAAGAAACCTTGTAACAGGCTTCTCCATTGATTATTCTAGAGGAAACAAAGTTTTACAAATCAGTGGCTATGAATATTTCACAGTTTGACAATGGTCCTCGCATTATACGTCATCCACCACCGTCCGTTAGCCTCGGGGAGGATTTAGGACAGAATATATCATGGACTTGTGAAGCGGTTGCCAAAGGTGCTGTGGCATATCAGTGGTTAAGGAACGATCAGGTAGAGTGTGTTGATGACTTTATCGATGAAGAACTTTTGCCTTAAATCGTAAATCAAAGAACAAGGTTTAACTTATAAATTCTTGCTTTTTTCCAATTCAGACTATAACATCTTCAAATGATCTACTACTCACAAATGTACAAGATTCGCACTCGGGTCGATACGTCTGTGTGGCAGAATATGACGGAGTCAAAGTGTTCTCACAGGCTGCTAATCTTGACGTATTTGGTAAATACCAACCTATGACAATACTATCTATATGGCCATGGCTTGCTCAGTAGTGGCGTACCCATTGCATGCCGAGCGATTAGATCCTTAATATTATCATCTATTACCCTAAAAAATTATTTTCAATTAAAAATGCTGTAAAGCGCTGGGAGTTTCAACCATCGCAATTCATATATAGCCGTTAAATCGTAAGTTAAAGTAGCGTTATGAAAAAATATTTTTGGGGCTGGATTTGAATTTTATTTAACCTGTAATTTTGGATTCGATATCAAAGTGCCCTCTATTAACACAGATTTTCAAGAGGTCGGTGTTGTCCAATACGGATATGTTAGCGTCACAATTATTTTGTTTTATTTTTTGTTGTTTTTGTTTTGAGGGGACTTGCAGTTGGTAAAACGTCCAGTCACGATATTCGCTAACACCCGACAAGATTACATAGCACATTGAGTTATAATACTTGTATGAAATCTCTGTTGGTTTCTGGGAATAGTAACTATACTGTGTTATGACGCCTTTTGTAGATACTAGTCCTCAGTTTGAGAACCAAGTGCTTACTACTCCAGAGAATAGTAATGTCTCCATTGAGCTGAACGTCAGTGCTTTGAACAAACGACGGAGGCCTGCCGACTTTTTCATCATGATTGTGAAAGGTTTTATAAAACAAATTTATCCCATCAATTTTGTTTCGAATGTGTGTTTTATTAATGTGTTTTTTATTTATTAATTGGAGCAAAATATATCAGCCCCTTTCCTTGTTTTCTTTACAGGAAACACCAATGGTACGTTTGTCCTTTCCGAGACATCAAAATTAAACATTTCTTTGCGAAATCAACTTCCTTTTGATTACGAGACTACGAAACTGTATCAACTGACCCTCATTGCTACAAATGAAGAGACCAACAAAACAACCTCAGCTAACGTGACGATTATTATTACTGATATCAATGACAATCCACCGATATTCTCGAGCAGGTAAGATACGGAGATATGTTCAGAAACGCACGCAACAATGAAAATTGGGAAATTTGGAGAAAATTTGCCAAATGTTTGGCGGAAATTAAAAATGTTCAAAGAGGCCCTTTAAAAAGAGGCGATGTTGACGAAAATGGCGATTTAGTGAAATTTGCGCCACAGGTTGAACAAAAATTCTAATTACATGTCCAAAGGGACCCTTTGAAAAAGTGATGATTTTGACCAAAATGGCGATTTCACGAAATTTCGCCAAAGTTTTAATGAGAATTCTAATTATATTTCCCAAAGGGCAGCTTGAAAAGTGGCGACTGTGACGAAAAATGGGGAACATGGCGAAAATGACGATTTGACGAAAAATCGCCAAAGGTTAAACAAAAATTCTAATTGAGTGTTCAAAGGGACCTCTTGAAAAAGTGGTGATTTTGACGAAAATGGCGATTTAACGAAATTCGCCAAAGGTTTAATGAGAATTCTAATTATATTTCCCAAAGGGCCGCTTGAAAAGTGGCCATTTTGACGAAAAATGGGGAACATGGCAAAAATAGCGTTTTGACGAAAAATCGCCAAAAGTTTAACGACATTCTAATTACATGTCCAACGGGGCCCTATGAAGTGTCGATTTTGACGAAAATGGGGAAAATGGCGATTTGACGAAAAATCGACAATGGTTTAACGAAAATTCTAATTAGATGTCCAACGGGGCCCCAAGAAAAGTGGCGATTTGATAAAAAATCTCCAATGGTTTAACGAAAATCCTTGAAAACTGGCGATTTTGGAGAAAATGGCGAAAATTTCAAACCCAAAAAAATCCTTCGATCCTTCACTTGAAATCCGAAGTACCCCTTCCCCCCCTGGGAGTTGGATGTAGTAAAAGGTAAAGGCACACACGAGCCAAAGGCACAAACGGCCGGACCTAATCCCGGTTTCTTTAGCATGAAGCATGCCAAGGAGTATTGCTACTCCCGCAGGATAGGATGCAGTGCATTGCAGGGTTACCCCCAGCAGTATGTCCCCAGTACCCATTTATACATCTGGGTGGATACAAAGTGGAGTAAAGCTCCTTGTCTAAGGAAACAACGCGACAGGCGAGGCTTGAACCACGGACCTCAAGATCCGGAGTGCGAGGTGTTAACCGCACGGCAACAAACGCCTCCACAAAATTTCCTTCTCGAAAAAATCTCGAAATCGAAAATTTCAAACCCAAAAAAAAACCTTCTATCATCCCCGTCACTTGAAATCCGAAGTACCCCCTCTCCCTGGGAGCTGGATGTAATAATAAGTAAGGTTTTTGGTATCACGACGGAGGAACAATACAGGATGTGTCATTTGATATTGCAGTAGCAGATACTTACCATGATTCAAGCGTTCATGACAAGAAAGTGATAATTATTCTTTTATATCCTTTGTGAGGTAATATTGTTGTTTAACTTTAGATGTTAAGGATTTTGAATATTTTCCGGACCTCATATTACCAAAATGGAATATAGGTTTTAAAAACAAAACAAACATGCACTATGTCGCTTTCTATATCTGGTTGTTGAAAAGATACAAAACCAGTTGGACATGCATATACAAGATTTTGTGGGGTAGTATTTTTTAAGGTTGTTATGGTCAGGGAAAAGATAGGGGAAAACAAATTATTTTTAATGTGGGGCAAAAGTCAGGGAAAATCTTTGATATTGTGTCAGTTAGGAATAACTTAGCAAATTCTATTTACGTTGCACCCAAAATCCTGGAAATTGCAAGGGTTGGAAAATGAAGACAGGAATATTGATGGTTTTCAAAAAACACCCGAAGCAAATGTAAGCAGGGATTGTTTGTTAACATTAATCAGCTTATGCAAGGTCAGTGAAAATTGTTTAGTGCTCTATGAAAAGTAAGGGATAAGACTGGGAATTTTTTTTACTTTCTGATGAGTGGCAACCCTGTTTTTGGTTTGGTTTTAGGGATAAATTTTTTAAGATTTCTGGCCCCTTTCCATATAGCCATAATGGGACACGTGTTTTAAGAACGAAACAAACATGCACAATATATTAAAACTTTTTTATACCTTATTGGTACTTAATTTCGATTTTGGCGAGACAGTATTTCGCGGGGTTTAATTTTCGCGATTTCAATAGGCAGCATTGAAAAAAGGACATTAAATTTTACGATTCAAGCGTTCTCAACTTCTTTTTATTTTTCTAAGAGTCTGAACTTTTGAAAATTTCTTGAACAAGTAAACAAGGAAAACGCATATTTGAAAAAACTTTTTAGGTATCTTAATGATATTTCACAACAGAAAATGCAAGATGAGTCTTGTGTATTTGCCGATACATATCATGTGTGTGTTTTTATTATTTCATGTTAATCATTTTTCAATTTTCTATTTCAGTGTTTTTAAATTTCGCGGCAATTTTTATACGCGGGTCTTTAATTTCGCGATTTGTTTTACAGTCGCGAAAAACGCGAAATTAAATACCCTCGTAATGAAGTACCAACAAGGTATTTGGTGGATGTAAAGATCTAGAATTAGACATGCGTAATTGGTGTTAATGTTTCAATGTCAGTCTGGATGGCATCATTTTGTGTAATGTGGTGAAGTATTGGGCACCAGTGACACTTCGTTTAGGTTTACATAAGGTAAAGTGAGCCAATTGTGTCCGCCATTCCAAAATGGTGTACACAAGCTGCAGCGTGTCAACGCTGGATTCTGGCATACAGTTATCAGCGCAAATTAACCCTTATGCGGATAATTTGTGGAGGCTCTTGACGTCATTTTATACGAACCCAGTCTTAAAATTGCATTTCATAGACATTTCTGCCTCACAATTTATGGCTCAGTCAATTCCAAGCGTGTCCATCACCCCCGGGCATTTGTCGGGCATTTGTCATCTTCTCGGTCCCTGCGGAGGGGATTTGTCAGAAAACCTCTGCTCAGGGGTGGGACATTTTTCAATTTTTCTAGAATAGGTTAACGTCGTTCCTTTTTCAATATTTCACTTAAAAATATGAATATTCAGATAGCTTTAGACATTTCAGTAAATAACATTTTTTATACTTATGCTTTAAAAAGATATGTGTGGTTTTCACTCCATCACATCTCTACCCACGGTATGTTTTGCATTTGTCCCGCCATCGTGATCAGTTCGCATATGGATTAAAAAAAATCAATGTATCGTTTGAAGAGTTTAAAGGAAAGACGCTTTCTTTGTCCGTTAATGTTTAAAGGCAGAAAGGCCTAGAAAAGCTGGATGAGATATATAGAAGTTAATATATATTTCGTGTATTGTACGATCAATGCGGCAATTAATACGCTAACGAAACGGTTGCATTGTGATGAGAAAATACTCATCTTAAGCTCGTCGGTTGTTTGTTTATCATTCACTATATTAAACATCTTCAAAAATAAGAAAGGTATTTTGAAAATTCTATTTTGCAGTTGTGTTTTTGATCTTTAAAATCAGATCAGTGTGATCTTTTTTGCGATAATTATAACGAGCGGCCAGGAGCAATTTGCGTAAGGTGCTTCAAGCGCGAGTTTGATCAGATTATTACAGATTTCCCATAAATTTGGTATTTGCAGTTTATTTACTGGAAAATGAAATTTTGGTGTTGTCCCGGGGTGGGGCATTCGCACCTTATTTTAAAGTCCCACCGTGGGTTTTCATAATCTCTTATAATCTCGCCTCTTATAATCTTATTAAAATTTTCACCAGCCCTCTGGCGATTTTTCCCGATTTTCGCCATTGATGGCTGCTTTCACTATTTTCGTCATGTTCACCATTTTCTTCATAATCGCCACTCTCCAAGAGGCCACTTTTGTCACCCAATTTGAATATTTTCCAAACCCATGGCAAATTTTGCCAGATTCGCCATTTTCGTCAACTTCTCCACTTTGTAAGGAGCGCCTTTTGTAACCTCATTTAAATTTTCGCCAGCCGTCTGGCGATTTTTTGCCAGATTTGCTATTTTCGCCATTGCGTACATTTCTGGACATATAAGTGAAGTTACGATCATAGACATTATTTATATTCCCTTCCACTAACTTGTGTTTCCGTCTCGATTTTTGGTCATCATTTTGGACGTTGCTGCTTTAAGGAGCCTGTCTTCAGCTATAAAATAGAGCCAAATGGTTTGTACTTCCTTGTGTTGTAGGTAGCTAGGGTGACACTTAACTATCAAGGATGATAGCACGAGGGCCTCCCATCTTAATGAAAACGTGACCTCCGCTTTATAATTCTTCATTCAGGAGTGTACATTTTAGGGTGAAATTGGTCTTAGCTTTGTCCGAATGAAGGTGTTGCATTAACGAATATTCAATAAGGAAGGATAAGGTTTTCTTTTACTGAGTTTGGTTATGTGATAGTTTTACAATATCTTATTTTTCCTGGGATTATAGAGATGCCGTGTCTGTCAAGGAAAACACCCCACAGGACACTGTCATATTCCAAGTAAGGGCCACTGATGCAGACTACGGCAACAATTCCTTCATAACTTACTCTTTGTTGTCCACGGAATATGCGCAAAAATTTTCCATAGATGGTTTATCCGGGAATATTACTGTTATTGGAAATCTTGACTATGAGAATAAGAGTGAAATCGTTCTACGCATCAATGCAACTGACGGAATGTTCTCAGTAACCTCACAGCTATTCGTCACTATAACTGATGTCAACGACAATAAACCAAGATTTACCAGTGGGTAAGATACTTTGCAAACCATATGATTTGCATGACTACTGTAATCAAGTAACGCTGTGTTAAAGAATTTTCAAAGTTAGTACTTCGCGCAATATTTGTGTCCCTAAAATGTAACCTGGAATTACAACTTGATGCGACTGAAATACGCGATGACTTGTGCCTTTCCATTTGCTTTTTTGGTGGCACAGCTCCCAATTCCAAATCACTCACCCCAGTGTTAAGGGTGAGGTCCATGAAATGTTGGACAAGTAAGGATTGGAGCACTGGTAAATTGGCAATGAAAGGTTTTGTCACACTCGGCTCAGAGGAAACTCTTCACTTCTCTGTGAACCGGTGAACTTTATAAGGAGAAGAGCAAACGATGTTTCCAACAGCGGTTTTGGCTTCTTCGATACAGCTGTGGATTTGCTTGGCATTCCTGGTTTCGACAAGTACTGTACAGGTTCAATCTTGGCTGCATCGGATTAAGTCTCGCGTTGTCATAAATTTGACCTTGAACGGAAATGATTTGTAGTTTTGGGCATTAAACGTCAGACCTGCCAGGCGGAATCTACAATAATCCCCCAATAAAAGGCGCATCAGTCGCTCAAATGTCATGGGCGCATTGCATAATCCAAACGGCGTTACCCTTTCGTAACAAGTCGCATGGAATAAGACCCGCCACGCCAAAAATAAAGCCATATGAATGAAACAAGTAGAAAAACCTTTCATTCTAGGGTCCGGTTTCAGGTTTAGTTCATGCCCAACCAGTAATAAGTTTGTTGTTTCTCTTACATGAGCATTTTTTACCTTTGATTTAAGAATTAGCGTATCAGCTGAAGAAAACACGCCATTGGGAAAAGTAATATTCCAAATAAGAGCCACTGATGCTGACTATGGCAATAATTCCATCATAACTTACTCTTTGGTGCCCAGTGATTGTGCAACGAAATTCTCTATTGATGCTTCATCGGGGAATATCACTGTTGTTGGAAACTTGGATCCGTTGCTCCATTGCTAATAGGGCGTTTAAGATGCGACTTGAAAAGTGTATTTGCAAACCTGCATTCTCTGTCACCCTTATGGCAATTCGCTTACTTTTTCAAATGCAAGCGAACTCTTTTAGAGTTGAATTATTAAGAACTATATCTAATTTCAGACAGAGAAGAGATGTTTTCTCTACCTTGCTGCAGTATATTTTCTATTGTAATTCTTACAGTATCCTATTTCTCGTTAAATTATAGAAATCGTGTATCTGTTGAAGAAAACACACAGCCGGGGACTGTCGTATTTCAAGTAAGAGCCACTGATGCTGACTATGGCAACAATTCCATTATCACTTACTCTTTGTTGCCTAGTGAGTACGCAACGAAATTCTCTATTAATGCTTCATCGGGGGATATCACTGTTATTGGAAACTTGGATCGCGAGAACACGAGTGAAATCACCTTACGCATCAGTGCAACTGACGGAACGTTCACAGTAACGTCAGAGCTATTTGTCATAATAACCGATGTCAATGACAATAAGCCAATATTCATCAGCAGGTGAGAAAGAATACGTGAGGTCTTTTACAGCTAATGACGCTAGACTCTATAGTCCCTTGAGAAACCTCGAGAAAGTAAAATACAACTTACGCGGGTCCTTCTGCCATGCTTAACAAAATACCTGGTTCACTAAAAGCGAAAAGGGAGCCAAGGGTGTTACAATGTTCTAAAAAGTATTTGAAAGTAACAAAATGTACATTTCTCCTTAGCGTAGTTTTCTCACGGTGATTAAGTACACAACAATTTTTTTTTCTCAAGTAAAATAAAATCTGCCTAACGAACGCCTACATAACAACTGATCCGTATCTTAAGGGAAATAATCCATAACAGCTAAGCTATGGTATGAACAGGTAAGGTCCAGGGCTTCTCTGTCGCTTTATCGTGCAGTTACGACCTTTGCGCTGGTGGCTGTCTAAGACTAATACGTGGACGACAAAGTAGAGTGGCTTAACCTTTGTTTTCTGAGACTAGCAGTTCTAGTGAAGTAGTGTTTGTCGTGGTAAATTGCTCCTAAAAATGTCAAATAAACTTTCTGTGCTGTGCCCATTCTGTAGCTCTTGATAAAACGAAGTACATTTACTTTTGCGTTACAGAAGCAATATATCCGTGGAAGAAAACATTCCTTCCGGAACTGTGATATTCCAAGTAAGAGCTACAGATGCTGACTATGGCAACAACTCCGTTATTTCTTACACATTGTTGCCCAGTGGGTATGAGACGAAATTCTCTCTTGACCCTTCATCCGGGAATATAACAGTCATTGGAAACCTGGACCGCGAGAACACGAGTGAAATAATTCTCCGCATCAATGCAACTGACGGAACGTTTCCAGTAACCTCAGAGCTATTCGTTCTCATAACTGACGTGAATGACAATGAACCGATATTTACTAGCAGGTAACATGAGATTCCAATTTGAACTAAATGCAATTCAAAACATTATACTCATGTCACAGAGTAACAAATTTATTTTTCCCATTTTGTTGTAGAAAAAACGTATCCGTTGAAGAAAACACGCGGCCAGGGACTAACATATTCCAAGTAAGAGCCACTGATGCTGACTATGGCAACAACTCCGTCATCACTTACTCTTTGTTGCCCAGTGAGAATGCGGGGAAATTTTTCATTGATGCCGCGTCAGGGAATATCACTGTTGTTGGAGACCTGGATCGGGAAAACACGAGTGTAATCACTCTAGGCATCAATGCAACTGACGGAACTTTCACTGTAACCTCAGAGCTATTCGTCATTATAACTGATGTCAACGACAATAAACCGACATTTATCAGCAGGTAAATCAAAACGTAGGATAGTTTCTGTTCAAGGAGAACCATGCACGCAAGCCTTTAGCAATGAACTTTCTTATGCCTCTTAGAGAAGCCTGGGGCAATGCTTGGCATGATATTTGGTTTTTGGAACTTTCAAGTGAAGTTATGAGCGTTTAAATATTCATGTGAAAGTATCGTTATGTACATCTGTCTTTTGCATCAGTATCAGTTAATTTCTTTGTGTGAACACTATTTCCCGAGAACAATGTACCCTCGTGTTTAATATAAACAACACCAGGATCATAGGTGTATCGTACATTTAGGCACCCCGGTCTAGTTAACCTGTAGGAAGAAAGGCAAGTGTCTAGCTCTTTTACATGACCATCTCCGTTGCTCCATTGTTAATAGGGCGTTTAAGATGCGACCGCGGCGGAAACGTCACTTGAAAAGTGTTTTTTGCGTTCCTTCATTCTCTGTCGCCATTATGGCAATTCGCTTACTTTTTCAAATGCAAGCGAACTCTTGTAGACTTGAATTCTCAAGAACTATATCTAATTTCAGACAGAGAAGAGATGTTTACTCTAACTCGCTGCAGTTTATTTTCTATTGTAATTCTTACAGTATCCTATTTCTCGTTAAATTATAGAAATCGTGTATCTGTTGAAGAAAACACATCACCGGGGACTGTCGTATTTCAAGTAAGAGCCACTGATGCTGACCGTGGCAACAATTCCATTATCACTTACTCTTTGTTGCCTAGTGAGTATTCGGAGAAATTCTCTATTGATGCTTCATCTGGGAATATCACTGTTATTGAAAAATTTGATCGCGAGAACACGAGTGAAATCATTCTACACATCAATGCAACTGACGGAACGTTCACCGTAACCTCAGAGCTATTCGTTGTTATAACTGATGTTAATGACAATAAACCAATATTTAGCAGCAGGTAAGAGGAGAAAAACGGGTTATGGTTGTGTAGTTCATTAATGTTCATATGGCTATTAAATTTCGAATTGAAAGAATCAGGTGTGTAAAAGTGTGTAATCGTACAATTGTCTTCTTTATTAGCAGACGTACAGTATGTTGCCCAGTATCCGGCCACTTCAGTTTAATATTGCAATAACTTTCCTGTGTTAGTCGCAAGAGTTCTGAAATTTGGCCGATTCCATCGCGAAATTAATATTTTTGCAGGGCTCCTATGTTGCCCAGTATCCGGCTACAACAATAACAACTTATTTATACATGAATTTCGACAGGCATGCGACTTATAAGCTCCTCTTGCACTTGTTAAGTAGTCTGGCATTCGATTCCAAAGATTTTAATCGATCTGGGAACCTACAGTACTCGTCACATTAGTTGCGACAGAACGGATATTTTCTGCCTCCTCAATGTTGGTTTTTGCGAGTTGGCATCACAGAAGCAAAAAATTCAACACTGGGAAAGAAAGAGCACAACGTTTTGTCGCAATATGGTTGCTGCATCGGGTGTCCCAACTTAATGTGACGAGGATTGTAGCATCGTGGAACAAAACATAACAAATGACTGGGGTATGGTGGGGAAAGCTACGCGAGCGGCTGATCAAGGTTGGAGATGTGAAGAGAAAAAATGAAAAAAGAAACTAACAAAAAAGACAAAATTGTGGGTTTTTTTTCCTATAAAATACTTTCAAATGTTAATTTGTAGTAAGTAGTTTTCGTACCTTTTTTTCACCCTACGACACGAACTTGTTCCTGGACACGTTGATGGTCACTCTTGATCTGAATTCGGTAGGAAGGTCTAATTAATCACACCACCTCCAGCGGATTGTTGGTGCGGCCATTGAAGGGAACTTTTACAGGAAATGCCCGTTTTTTCAATGAAACGCAAGAAATTTAAATCAAAATTGTATACTGGGAGCTGGATAATTTAATAAAAGGGCAAGGAATAAAAAATGATGAAACTCCGAAACCACTTTCCTGTCTTGCTGTTTTTAAATGGTACAGTTCCTTTCCTTTTCACTGATTTAAGGAACGTATCCGTGGACAAGCCAAAGTCGTGGTTTGCAAGCTCAATTAGCAAATCTGCGAACTGTTTTTTTTTTGTTGTTTTTTTTTGAAAAAAAAATCTTTTTAAGGGCCTTTCCGACGGTCAAAGGTCACTTTCCCATTTATGTCTGACCTGCAGTGTTGATTTCTTCATGCTCAGTCCCCACATTCGGGCTGATTTTCTAGCACTAATTCCTCCTTTTTCGCATTTCTCAATCCCTTTGAGAAATTTTCAAATTTTTGCAATCCATTCTAGCAGTCACAACTCGGAAAAATGTATACTATCCCGGTTCAACTTCTACCTTTCCGGTTAGATATAGAAAATGCAGTCCGCGAAACAAGCCGTACACACGAAATCAATTCCCCTCTGAATGAGTGAAGAAAATTTCCATAAGGAGTTGAGTAGAATTACATTATACAGATTATATTATATATCCTAAGCTTCAGTTATACTTATAGATATGAAATAAACATTGTCCCGATAATGTACACAGCTAATTCATCGATTCTACACGGCAGAGAAAAAACTGGCGGGATACTGGCCTCCGTTATCCCAAACAAATTGAATTTCAAGAAGAATTTAAATTTTCTGAAAACCCGACTTCTTTAAGTGTCTTCACGTTAAATATAAAACAGTTTCCTTGAAAATATCACATATCCCCAACCCTTATTTGAGCAGCACTGGTTTTAGTGCGCAGTTAACAGCGTAAATATTAGCCATCAAAAGTTTACTCACCTGAACAGAACGGCGCCTTGTCACAACTGTTTCTCAAGCTGTAAACCCGCCAAAACTTGCATTTTAAAGCTGAAATGTTCCGCTTCCAGTAGAAATACTTTGTTTACCGAAAACTAAAAAGGGCGCTGCAAAAATTAAGTTTTTGTTTTAAGTGGCCGGATACTGGAAACGGTCGGATACTTGGCAACATACTGTACTCATCGTGCAGGTATTATCTTTTTTGTTACACCCTCATAAGTATTGTCCTTTATCTTTACTTGAAAGTTTCAGTGATAGTTAACTTGTGCCAATATCAGGAATCTTGCAACCATTATCGAGTTTGGTTTGCGGTATGCCCATCCTTTTATTTGGGTAAAAAATATCCTTGTAAGAACAGACTAAAGCTTGCTTTAGGTAAAAAAAAGGATATTTTTGGCGTTATTCTCAGTGTCATTTTTTTCCTTTGAAATATAGAAATAACATTTCTGTGAAAGAAAACACTACACAAGGGACTGTCATATTCCAAGTAAGAGCCACTGATGCTGACTATGGCAACAATTCCATCATAACTTACTCTTTGTTGCCCAGTGAGTATGTGGCGACATTCTCTATTGACCCTTCATCCGGGAATATAACAGTCATTGGAATCCTGGATCGTGAGAACAGGAGTGAAGTCACTCTACGCATCAATGCAACTGACGGAACATTCTCAGTAACCTCGGAGCTATTCGTCATTATTACTGATGTCAATGACAATGGACCAATATTCACCAGTAGGTAAGTCGAATCAAAACTCTGAAATAGACAGCTATACTCATTCTTTGAGTAGAAGGGAATCATATTCGAGCGTTAAGTATAGCTTTATTGTCCTTTTTACCGGTACGGCTATTTTTAATTTTTTTTTTCTGTTAGTTTGTAACAAGGCTGAGTTTTGTCCAACTTCAACTGTTTCTATGCAAATTCAAACTATGCTTTCAAACAACATAATATGACATATGATAAAAGCACATTTTTGGAGATGTTAGTGGAAGAGAATCTGTGGAGTAAGTACTCGGAGGGCAGATTTGGAAGTTTAGAGTGGGGATAGAATAAGTATAATAACCTTTATCCGAGACATATGTTGCCTCCTCCACACGCACAACTCGTCATAATAGGACCCCCCTATTAGGCTGACGCATGAAGATTCAAGCGAAAACAACGCAGCGCTTGATCCTTGAATATGCTTTTAGCACTTCATTGGGTCTCTGAGGCGAGAAATAGGTGGGTTGTCAACTACTATCCATCGGTGGTGGTTAAACTGTTAGACTACTAAATCTAATTGTACTCCTCACTAGTAGCGAACGCTTACCAGAATGTAATCAAATTTTTTTCTGAAGTTAATTGCGTCTAATTCGACGCACTTGACAAACGTCTTAGCCGTCTCATACGTTTAAGTCGTCCTGTATAAAGATGGGACTCACTAAGCAGCCACACTTTTAATTAATCCAGACGTCTGTAACGTTCTCTAGTACCAGGAGGGGAGGTAACTCTATTGTTTTCCACCTAAGTTTCTTGACCCACTGCGCCTGCCAGTATGACGTCACATAGTAACGGGCAAGAGCCTCGGGCTGCTTGTGCAAATTAGCAAGGGATACGACAGTTATCTGGACGAGCGAGGTCGAGGAAAAGCAAAGAAGCTAACAAATATCGCCATGTATCGCTTATTTGATCGAATGTGTGTGAGCTTTGGTGTTGCTATAATCTGCTTGTGTAAACCGTTTTGATATTTTGTGTCTGTGATTGTAAAATTTTGTTAATTTGTTTTGCGAGCCGTGTTGCAGGATCGCTATCTATTTCACGGGACCGGCAAGGTCATCAAAACTTAAATCTTTTTTTTCTCTAAAATAGGCAAGGTCTAGTCTCCAGAATAGGAGGTCTTATTCACAGATCATGCATGTTTAGTAATAGAAATGTGGCGGTGGTGGTGGTGGTGGAGAGAAACGGGGTAAAAAAAAGATAGCTTGCTTTCTTTGACTATTTTAATAGTTTTCTTTCAAATCGCTGTGTATTTGACTCGTTTTGTTTTAAACGGTATCTCGTGTCTGATTTTATTGCTAGCAATTATTAGTCGCGTGTTTAATCAATTGATCCTTGTTAAGTTATTTGTTTTATAATAATACGCCAATATGTCTGTAAACCGGGTTCAAGTTACTTAACGGCAAGCCGAGGCAAGCCTATTGTTCCTATCGTAGTAGACTGACGCTCACTAGTAAACCTATACCGAATTAGTATGCAGGAAGACACTTAATTAGTATGCAGGAAATCCAAATTAGTATGCAGGAAGACACTCATACATATTAATAAAGGGAATCCACTTTTTGCGAGGGAATCCAAAGGGAATCCACCAACGAGGCTTATCTCGCAACATAGTATACTACTCATATCATTCCTTTCGAGTGCGGGCCTCTGTTGATCTCCTTATTCTCCACCAAATTCAGGAAAGCTAGTTCGATCGATTATCTACATAGAATCGGCCCGTTGAACCGGAAATAATGTGAAATAGCTTTGAAATACGCGCTTAAGCCAGTTTTCCTCAAATGCATATTTGAATTCATGATAAATACAGCTCTACCAGCTTCAAACAGCGTCTATGGCAGAGAAAAATTGTTTTGATGTGACAAAATTAATTTTTCAAATCATGTGTGTCACTGTGGTGCAGTGGTGAAGGAGTTTCTTGCACGTGCAGACAAACCGTGCTCGACTCCCGCCGACGCTGCTTTTTGTTTCTTTGTACCGTTTTTTCTTCCCTGTTTGGTCAATTTTTTTTTAACACTATTTTTCCTTTTGGCCTTTTTTTTCTTTATTCTTACTGCAGACCCTGCTGGTCATGCACTTGGATCAATAGTATTTTAAGCTTAAGTCTGGAGTTTTCTTTTGGCAAAGGGATTTCAAAAGCTCTTGATCTGCATACTGGCCAAGCTTACGACCAGATAAAAACCATAAGCTGTCAAGACATGTTCCTCCTCTGAAACAGCTGAATTTTTTTCAATGTTAGTTGACATCATGACAAACACACACAGTACACCACAAACTGTACTAATTTACACCCAGTGACCCACTGGCGAAACTTAAACTTGCCTTTTGTACATCGTCGTAATCATCAATATTATTACTCTAAAATCTCCACTGGGTTGGCCCCCACAAAATAATTAAACGAAACCTTTTATTCGTT